AACTGATGCCGGCTCAACCCGCCCGAGGTGAATGCCGTTACGAGTACAAGTACAAGTACAAGTATACTCACACCGGACGTATATGACACGCGCATATGGACTTTTTAGTCTTGTCAGACACTCTGCCTTATCCGTCCTCTGGTCCTCGTTACTCCGTCTTGATACCGGGCCCAGGAGGGTGAGATAGATTCTTCGCATGCCCGTTATCGTTATAAACTAATTCACACTCACGTCACCGGTGTTGTGCCCACCCTGTCGTGGAGTCATGTATAATGGACCTAGTCAGACTTGATGGTCGAGAGAAGTGCTCTAAGCGCTGCAGGGAATTACATCTTTGTATTTCCAACATAAGAGAGTTAAAGAGGTCAGCTGCGAAAAGTCTGCCAAGTTATATCTCTAGTTTTGAACGTGCATTGTACGCACAAATCATGCTTAATCTTTTTATATCTCTACTAAGTGGCATCCGAATATTAAAAAAAGACCTTTGGAATATATCCAGAAAATTTGGCATTCTTTAAGTCTTTCAGTTGCCCTCCATCACTAGCTTTATTCCCCACAAAACAATTACGGGTTTTGATCTTTTGTCGATGACTTCTTCAGAGAATAGTTGACTAAGTACGAGCGCTGAAATTTAGTTAAAATATCCGACAGTTACGAACACAGTATTTCAAAGCATTCTAAAATTTGCTACATTGCCTGACTAGGGGAAGGTCTTATAATGAAACATAATCACGTAGCTTTTAAAGTACACAGTAGTCCATTTTACATAAGGATTTCTTTTGCGCCTTAACTGTTTCAAGCGCAGTTTGAAGTTGTAATTTACTGGGTAGCCTGTTTCCTCGACAACAGGATCTTTCAAAAGTAAGGCATGACCTTAGATGGCCTATGAAGAGAAATGCTATTTAGTAAATGTAATGCTAATTTTACCACGGTCCCTACACATTGAACTTCGAGTATTAGTTACTGATGCAAAGTTTCTACATTTTCTAATGCAATCAGAAGTTGCTTAAACCTCACCGATATCTTCTATCTTTATTACCGAAATTGAAGTCTACGCTTCTTTTGAGGCATCTCTATCAATATTCTGCCAATTGCTTCTACCTTGTCTTCTATTACATACTTTTTCGAACCTATGATTTTTGTAGTGCATGCATACTATTTGTTATGCTACTGCCTATGGTTTTGTAAGACAAATTTCTTTCCTGTTTTCGGCAAAAAGTCGCACGCCAGTTTTCGTTGAGTTTGACAGTTTTAAGGGTTCTGAGTTTACTGGGTGACGACTGACAACTTTTCCGTCCTCACAAACAGCTTTCCTTGTGCGGGAAGTTGCCCAGCTCAGTGCACAGCAAGGTATATACGCTTGCATAGGCCGAGTTCGTCTTCTCTACGCTCTGCAGTTCAGGAACTGTGGGGGTACGAGTGATCTCTTTTTCGTCTACCACGTTTGTTGTGGATTCTCAGAAGGGATAATTTGGCTAATTTTTTTCAGGACACAGTTGCGTCATTTTTGCACAATTTGGCTTGACCGGGTTTCGAAACGAGGACAAGCGTCGTCTTGGATGTTTCATTCAGCAAATTACGAGCTCTTCAGCCTACTGTGACCTTAGACTTCACGTCTCTTCAACACACAGTGACTCTTTTGCTTGGATTTACTCCCCACCCTTTACCAGCTTAAACAGACAGCGTTCTGTTATTTATCGCATAGATTTCGTGACCCAACAAATTTCAAGTAGCTTTAATAGTCACTTTGCTTGCTGCGCGTTTAACTGTCTACAGCATCCTCTTTTGCGTTATATGATCCCAATGTTCGCTTTGACGCACTGATATTCCAAACCCGAGTTCCCGGTTCTTGTTACAGAACTTAATTGGCGTCGGTGTTGCAGATCAACCCTTATCCGTTAAAGCGGCAAAAGTATCACTCAGTTGGCTGCAGTTTCCTAATTTTGTAAAAACAGATAAGTCTAAATATTAACCAATCTCAGTGGTGTTTTAGAATGCTAGAAGTTTGTTTACGCAATTTTTTATTCATTCAAGCCAGCAGAGGAGCGCAGAAAGATTGGAGAAGTCCTTTACGGCCAGGGGGACAATTCAACATCATGGATGTACGAGCAGCCCAAGAAGAACGCAGAGGATTTCCTCCTTGGAAAGCCCGTAAAGAGTCTCGAAGAACTAGCAGAAATCAGCCGAGGTATTAAGTTCTGCTGAACTGAGTTTTTTTACTTCCTTTGTCCTAGATGACGCCGAGGAGACTCCGGCTCAACGTCTGGCTAGGCTCGATATGCAGGCCAAATATCGTGAGGACCCTCTCAATCTCATGCGGTATGTTACACTCTCTACCTCATTTATTTCTCCACACAGGCAGCATGAACTTGATAAACGCAATGCCCTCCTACAAAACACAGCGAAAATGAAGAAGCTCCAGCGTCTGGTTTGTCTCCCCCTTTTACCGCTAATTTAAACTTTGTACAGATCGAAAAGCAAAAGCGTCAACAGATGAAAAGGGATCAGCTACAAAAGCGGAAGGGAGACAACTCGAAGCACCACCACCACCGCCGCCATCACCATGAGAGTAAAGACAACAGTCTTTCATCTTCCAGTGATTCAGAAGACGACGCCATCCTAGACAAGTTTATCAGTCTGCTACAACAGCAAGAACCCGGAGCTAACGTGGGTTGTGGCGTGGACTCGCTACAGCGGCATATGGAGAAAGAGAAAGAAGAAAAATCTTCAAAGAAGAAAAAGAAGAAAAGCAATGAGCATGCAACGAAGAAGAAGCACAAACACCACAAGCACCAAGATCGAGAAAAGCATTCCTATAAGCGGTCCGAATCTCCTGTGTGGACAGAAGAAGGCAAGAAGGCATCGCTGTCCGGCTCTCCTGCCCCCATAATTGGACGCGCATCCCCCTCTCCCACACACAGATTGCCACCGACTGCTGGGAAACGACGGCTCTCGCCGCCACCGCCTGGGGAACGAC